TGTGTGTGTGTGTGTATATATATATATATATGTGTGTGTGTGTGTGTATGTATGATGTATATATTTATTTATTTATACTGTGGTGACTCTTGAACAAGGAAGCTGAAAAAAAGAAAAGAAGTTTTGTGTTTTACATAATTTGCTAACAAACTACCAAATATACACACTTACTTGATTGCCAGCCTTTCATGATGGCTGACAATGACAATCAAGGTGGCCCCTTTATTTAACAATTTAACGCCTAAATGTAAGAATTTCTTTGTGTATTTATAAATGATGTTGATTTTCCACACACTCCATCACTTTAATAAACTGGATTTATCCACAGGTATGAGAAGTCATGGGACAAGCCAAATAAGACCAAATTGTTGCAAGATGGACTGGAGCGAGCAGGCAGGTGGGACCTGGCTGAGAAACTGCGCTGTCTCCATTGGGGTCATCAGAAGTTGAGTAAAAGAGTGGAGCTTCCTTCTGCATTCCCCTTCATCGTCACCGTCCATAAGACCATTCGAAACCAAGACGCTCTGAGCAGAATCAATGACTTGGGTCGCCGATTTACCTAAAAATAGACAAAAACCATTGATGCACTAATCAGTGTTTTTTCAGGCCAACAGCAATTTCTAATTTTTATAAGTTAAGTTGACGTATGCCAATTCTAATTTAATCTGATTTTGATTTGTCACTCAGAACTATAGCTAACTGAATACTAACTTTAGTTGTTGTTATTGTTAAAACTTCGGTGGAGTGTTTATATTCGCTGTCACTCTATTGTTACATTGTCTGTTTATTGTCACTGAATGTTAAAAATAAATTTAATAATATAAACCTGATTGAAAATTCATAACCTGTTATATTTTTACATACATTAAATCATAACAGTGCACTGTTTATCTCAAGGTAAACAATTTAATGTAGCCTAGACAGAGGGCACTATAGCCTAAATAATTATTCTCAAAGTTAAGGTCAGGACTTCACCATGTTTGTGGCCCTGAGATGACCTCCAAAAACTCTAACAAAGTTTAAAAATAAATATAACTAACAAGTTTTTACTATAATTGTTACAACAGATAAAATATGCTGGTGAAGATTCTCAGTCATCCTGGACATGATGTTAACAAATAAAGTCCAGTTGTTTTTGTATTGAACGTTATAGTAGAATATAATGAGTTTAAGCTATTTATATTCTCATTAGGCCCATATAAATATATAAAATATAAAATTAAAGAAATATAAATAAATAAATATAAAATGTAGCTCTGTTTGTTTATGTCATCTGTTGCAAGTCTTTCTTTTCTTTCCGTTCTTTTCTCTGTGCTGCTTTTACAAGTGATTGTATGTGTGTGTTTGTTCAAATAAAAAATAGAACAATATGCACTTAGACTTGTGTGTACAGTATTTCAAAAATATAAACCTAGTCCTTGCAGATATCCTTCTTTACAAACAGATGCAACCACTTGAGTCAAATTTTAAGTGAAAACTCTTTGTGTGCTAATATGTGTGTCAGAGAATGTGCAAAGCAAACAATGGTGAAGCAAAAACCATGCACTCATCCCACCACCCAAAAATAATGAGATGTAACTGTGCCCCACTCACCCCAAGACATAAGGTCAAATTACATTTCTAAGAACTAATGGCTCCTAAACATGCAATATTTCAGATTTAAGTACTGTAACCCACCTGTCTAAGTTGATTCGATAAATTAATAAATGTAAAAATGGTTATTGGTGTACAAAAAAAGGTTGAAGAAGATAGGCTGGGAACCACAGCTGAACAGCTATCTATTTATAATTTGTTTCATTTTATATCATATAAACTTTAT